GAGACAAGCAGGTACCACGGTACAGAGAGAGCAGAGATACTCGGCGCAGCGGTTGCCGTGGCCGGTCAGAGCGGCTGTGAGGGGTGGTTACAGTGTATACCTATGGCGATGATTGGTTGCTGGATGTTCTGGGTGACATGCGATCCGAAGATCGACGGAGAATGAAAAAAGGATCGCTCACTACCGATTTAGCGGGGTGGGTGAGAAGTGAACGGTAGCGCTCGAGTCACCGGACGGTGATGAGTGAGGGTGCGGCATGGTGAACGGTCGTGCAACCATGGACGCCTGAAGCATCAACGAGCGAGCGCGTGAGAACGTGGATGTGAGTGGGTCGCAGGTCTGGTGGTAGTAGTGTCAGACGGGGAATCCCGGTACTGCTACTGAGAAAAGGCCTCGGTTCTGTGGACTACCTGTTGGGCTACGGGATGTACTGCTGAGGCGACGACTGACGGGGTTACGGAAAAGCTAACGAGCGGACGAGTGTGCTGATCAGCAAGAGGGGTCGCCGGCGGTACGGTGTCTGGAGGTAGTGGTGTCGGACGCGGAATCCCGGTATCACTACCGAGAGATAGAGCTGTCGACGTCGCGACCCTTGACAACCGATTCAACGTTGACGACGCCGGACGTCTGATCTTTTGCACTCGAAGTCGTGTTGTACCACGCCGACATCGATAGGATTCTCGTAGTGTTATTGATCGAAACGATCTGAGAGAGCCCAGTAATAACCTGTCATTTTTCAGCATGCTTGCTGCCATATTTTAAATGCTCATGACTCCCACTTCAAAAGCGAACCCCATGGATCTTTGCAAGCCACAAAGATTATTCCGCGCCCAGCGTACCGTTCATTTTGCACCCATTCAGCGCCAATTCAGTACAGCCATACTGATTTGACGTCAAATTTTGTGCACCTGTTCCGATGGCCGCGTGGTAGATGCTAAGCCAGCATCTACCACGCCGTCCAGTGCTGGTAGAGACGTCTGTTCAAAGAACGTATCAGACGTCTGTTTGTTTGAGCAATGTTTTACCGGACATTTACTCCCCTTTTTACAGACACTCAAAAGACACCTACGGGTAATTATGGGTGCGGTTTTGACTTGAATTGATTATCATGTTTAATCGGGGACAGTCCACTAATCGGCATATTGCTCACGATGAGCCATCCTGCTTTTTTACTTGCGTCTGCACGCAGAGTCCACTATTTGGTCGCTGGCAGTAGTCAAAAGTACACTGTACCTTTTGAACAGACGTCTGTTTGTTCCTTCAAAATCCAATGGACACTTTAGACACTTTTAAACATGTCCGCTGTAAAGACGTCGTATCTTTCCACTGCCAGCACTGCGCGGTCATCCGAACATCGACCTAATGACAGAAAGCACTCGTATGCACGGAACCAGTGCGGAGCAATAATTGATGTCTGGGCACTACAGATTCTGCCAATCCCTATTTACTGTTGTGCGACGTGCGCATCGGGCGTTCCTCTGCGGGCTTGTACCAAAAGAAGAATTTCAAGTTTCAAACGGTCATAAAGGATGAACAACAACGCCATATTTGGTGAGCCGCAGCACCTTAATCCATAAGTGGGTGTCGAAGGGGTGTATTGTTTTACGTCGTTTGCATTTATGGACGTCGAGGTGTAAATCTTCAAATATAACTGACGTCGACAGCTCTACTGAGAGAAGACCTCGTACGGATTCGGTGGAGTACTAGCTGAATTATGGGGAGCTGCGTGACTTAGTTATGACGGCCGAGAAGTCTTTGTCGTGAGTGACGAAGCATATGATGTTGAGAAGTCTGTGCAGTGAGGCACAGCCTTTGAGAGGGACTGAGCAGTAAGACGCACCAAATGAGATGAGCTGTTGGGGAATGACGGACGCGTGGTGAATCGACATGTACCCGTGATGAGACGTCGCTGCCCTATAGCGGAGCGAACAAGAACGAGAAGTCTTTGTAGTGAAAGTGACGAGTTATGAGTTGAGTCAACACGAGTTTGGTGGTTAGCGCAAGCTGGACGAGTACGATGTACGGTACGAAGAGCAAGTTGGACGGGTACGAGCTCGATGACAACAACCGAAAGGACGAGTACTAGAAGAAGGACTATGAGACGAAGGATGATTTGGACGAAAATAAGTATGTAAGAACGAGTCAATAAATAGGAACGAGTCCGTTCCGGCTACTTAGCGGTGGCCTACAGGTGTTGTGTATTGTATCTAGTCGAACTCTGCCCGTGACAGAGCACCGCAGCACTGTCAAGCGCTACGACCCGCCGGCAATCAGGCGTCATGAGACTTGTTACAAAATTATCCTGATCTCCGTTGTCACTGCAATAGCGAGACGCTTACACGTTGACTTTGCTTATGATGCTGCCCCTGGATCCTGGTCAATGCCACCTCGACGTTATAACCTGCAGCGGGCCCGATTATGGCATTGCATCGTCCCCCCACAGCGCAAAGTAGTACATGGAAAATTATGGTGGTGTTTCCAACGTCGATCTTCATCGCTCGAGAGTACGGTCTCGTTCAGTGGCCGGAACGGTAGACAAGAGCACTTAAAGTGATGATAAGTTTCTTTATTGACTTGGCTTCCACTTGAGTAGAAGGTGGGAAATGTAAGACTGAGAGCTAACCGGAAGAGAGTCTGCCTGATTATGTCATTGTTATATCAGAAATCCTCGCACGTTTGTCCCTCGCATGAGGCAGCTTGCGACAAACCGTAAATTATGGGATCTACAGTGATCAAGTGATAAATAAGAGCACAATCAGAGGTAAGTAACACCATTTTCATCGACAGTCTGAACTGCTTTCGTGCTTATCGTTTGTAGTTTGTCCAAAATGAAAAGTGATCGTTTCACCGGCTTGTGCGCGTAGTTGGTTTGGGAACTCTCGATGTATGTAAGTTAAGATGCAATGTGGCTCGTACATAATGATTTTCTTAAATTATAAGAGATCGCTATTAGCAAAAAAGCTATTAATTTCATAAATGAAGTCAAAATAAATACATGAATGATTTCGTAAGAAATTATTAATAGCGCCATGATATAATCGGGAGCCCAGAAGATGAATCCATCACCCAGTCTCCCTTGATACTTTCAAGCTCTTAAATAGAGCCTTGGATGTGTACGCCTGCGTTAGGGCTACATAAGCAGGGGTCCAGTTTGTTCAACTATCATGTTATTAAGAGATCAACGCAAACAGATAATTGTTTGGGATTCAAGGTCGTCGAGCAGTCAATTATAAAAAAAAACTTCCACAATAAAATATCAATATTATATTCGGCAAAAAGCACTACGGGGATCGACGAATCACAACTTTACTTACCGTTTTCGCCGACCAAAAGCGCCTGTTGTCTTAAAAAAGAGCAGCATCTTAATTTAATCCGAGTGGGATGATGAGAAAGCCTGAGAGAATATTCTCTCCACGCAGTTTGACGTAGGAGGAATGAATGTCAGTAGAAGGTATCTGGTACGTATGAGGGCAGCTAGTACTATTAATGTGAGTCGTGAACTGTACAGTCTTCCCAATATTTCTACGAAATTTGGAAATATTGCCTATAAAATTTAAGTTTCACCGATTCGTAATATGTTGTTTCACGGAAATATTATAAAATATTTCTAGTAGTATTATTTTCTTGGAACCTCTGGTCTACTAGTTTCTCTCAAACCTAGCGCAAAAACACTCTACTAATTGGAGCTCTGTCAAACGGCCACACTCTCCAGATGAGCGTCCGAGCGTCCAGGCTAACGTATTACTACGTACAAATTACCGATTTTAAGAGTGGGTGGGCCTCCGTTGGAGTCGGACAAGAAATGCAGTGGTCGTTTGAGAAAGTCTAACGAACCATACACGAGTTTTATTTGAGTAAAGTCTTTCCTCTGCAATACCGCGCCCGAGACATATTTTCGATAGCATCAAGGCGGGTGCCAGTATCGCGACCTCATTCGAGTGTCGTTGTGGCCGAGCTCTATTCTCTGGTAGCTTGAAACCGCCTCTTAGCCATGGATACTCCTGTACGCTTGGTATTTCTCGAGGAGGCTCGCCGGAATGTGCTCTGCGATGTCATCCGCGGAGTATACTTGGCTTTTCCATTTTCCAAACATGAGGAATCGAAAAATTCCATCGTGCTGCATATCAGACAGTTTCAATGCGCTGAATAAGTTAATATTTCTCTCTTCATTGTCGTATTACGTAATTTTGTTTTTGCCATCCATCGCTTGGTAGATTCGGAGAAACCGCTTGTCATTCCGGGCGAGAACACGTGAGGTCTGATCAGTCTTTGACACTGCTGCGCCACTTGCAATGAGGACAGCCGCGAGAGCCGCAACAGTGAAGTTGAAAAGACGCATGGCCGGAATTTTTCTTGTGGACTGGTGGATAAATTGTGGAATGAGAAATGAGGTGGTTGGACGTCGCCCGGTACGGTTAAAACTACATATTTCTAATATCCTGGTAATCTTTCCTGAACTATTTGTGATTACTACGGGTCGCAGAAAACGTTTTGGATCAGCAGGCATGCCCGCAGGGAACTGCGTTCAGAAAAGAGACAAATACCTTTTGAAGCGCTCAAAGGTACTCCTTCTTAAATGAAGGAAATTATGCCCTATCAAAGCGGATGTATTAATATGTTGTTATAAGAGATTACCTTTAATCTTGATGCCCTTACAAGAATTAAGTATAACCATTTGGATTTCGTAATTCTAGCTTAATTTGCAGGCATGCCCGCAGACGGTATTTTCAAAACGGTCCCTTTTGACTGAAGAGAGGGAATCCTAATTACCCGGATGTATAATTGTTCGCGTTCTGTACAATACGACCACCATACAACATTCTTTATAAACAACATACCTCTTTCCGAATTGCTCTATTTCTCACCATCGACAGATAATACACATCCCAAACCACTTTGTTATAGGAATTCTGGCCACGCGTTTCTTGTGTGGTTTGGATACCAATTCTCACTTCGCAATTTGACTCGCTTTCGACACCTAAAGCATCCAGACACCAGCAATGCGCCTAACTTACGTCTTGCTGGCCGCTGCGTCGACCCTATTCGCCCGCCACGTCACCTCTACCCCCTACTTCGCTAACGATGTTGCGCTAACCGGTGTACTGTCACTGGGCTTCATTCACTTCGTTGGCGCTGACCAAAGTGTAAGCGACCAGTCCCGGTTTCTCAGAGGCGGCAGCATCGACGAAGATGACAACGAAGAGATAAACTTTCTGGAGCTTGTTAAGCAAGCGATGACTAACAACTTTGTTAACAAGCTGATGAAGAAGAGCTCGTTTTCGGATCTCGAGAAAATTGACGACTTTGGGGAGCTCAAGAGGATTTCGACTATTATAGATGACAAGCTGAATAATCTGTTCAAGCAGGCTGACGATGCGAACAAGAGTCCCGACGAACTGGCCAAGATACTGAAAGAAATGCCAGATGTCGACGATGCCCTGACGGCTAAGACATTGGAAATGTACACTGACTACTTGAAAGCAGTCGGCGTAAGAGTCCCCACGTAGTCTCGACGGTGGAAAGTACAAACCGTTTTTCAGAAATACATTGGTTCCTCCAATAACAGGACATAATATGCAAAAACACTGCTGAGAACGGCTTGCGAGACACCGAAATGCATAATTGAGTAAGACCTTTCACACCTGATTTAACCCGTGGACGACTTCTCTATCAGGCATAAGCACATCGTCTTACCCAGGTCGTCTTTAGTCGTTGGTTGAGTTAGAAAGTCTGTATAATGCGCCAGGTGAGGAAGCATGCCGGCTTACAGAAGCATAACATGCAGATGTACTTTGCTGTGCGTTTTCAGGTCTAATGTGGAGCCACACAGGCCTATCATACTGAAACCGTCTATATGGATTTAAGTAAGAAAGTTTCTCCTGGACTCCAGGATAAGTAATCATTTGCTAAACTGAGAAACACCAGGTCATTCAACGCTTCTTCACCTACGTGCAGCCTCAATTACATGTATACACGTGTAGACCTCCACTAACTTCGACTCTATGTCAGGAATACTTGTGAAAATGCAATGGAGCATCGCATTCTCCAAAACACGTATAATATTGATTATTTTCAGATACCATGATAGCGTTTAGATGGATTACTGTCGTTTTGTATTTTCGGCAACCAACTTGTTGATGGACCTGTGACCGACTAAATCTTAACTAGACTAGTAACAGTTTTGGTACATAATATTTCAGCGCCGACTTCGACTGCATCGAGAACACATACAAATCGCATGTGCTCTCAATGCAGGAAGAATTATATAAACGCTGCTGGTTGCTGTTTACTGACATCAAATTAATTACTAGTTCTTCTTGTCCTTAAAGTTTCGTATCAGGTATTGTGCCAGTAGTGGGTGCCTTCCATAAATAGCATAAGCACGTGTCATATTTGCAGCAGATAAGCCTGTCATACTTTACATGTATGCTGAGCTTAAGTATCAAAACGTCCACCACAAATACCATAAATGAGGCATATCTCAAAGACCTCTGTCCTGTTTATATGTCTCTACCTAGATCTTACACAGACCGAACTCATTAAATGGAAGCGTACCCGACACTTCGAATGGGACACAGGCAGGGGAAGCTCTTCTTGTACGTCACTTCGCAATTTACGCACGTCCGGGAAAGCATGGAGAGCGAAGACACGGAAGCAATGCTTGTTGTGGCCGAGGCCATCGACCGGGAGAGGCAGGAGCTGCACGAAGTGCGCCGAGAGGTCTTCGGCCTCCTAATCGAGGAGGCCTGGCGAGCCGCCATGCGCAGCCGCCACTATTTGACCGGGTATTGTTTGGATTCCCCGAGCAACGCGTCCTGGATGGCTCTATACGAGAACGGGAGTGATCTAAACTTTCTTAACGCCACCAGTTTAACGAGGTCGCCTATTATTGCTCGTCTGGATGCTGTTCTTGACTTGGATGCTGACAGGCCATGTACCAACAGGTCTGCTTTCTCTCAGCTCTTACAGCGTTTTTCACAATTCTACAGTTTACCGGGGCCAAGAGTACGTGGACGCCCGCCAAAGTTCCGTAACCTCCAACAGGTGTTGGGCTTAGTATTAGTGCTCTACACTAGCTCGATGGAGCGAACGACGCTCTGTATGCTCTTTGGAGCACCTCCCAGCACGCTATCGAGGACACTACGGAAAGTGGAGGAGTCGTTGAGCAAGGCGCTACATGATTTCGCTCCTGCGCGCATATCCTGGCCGTCACCAGGCCATCAAGTCAAGCTGTCGAGGCTGGTAGAAGCCCGTTAAACCCTTCTTCATCACACGTTCGGGTTTATCGACGGTAAAAACCTACGAGTGCGTACATGTTTGCATTTAGAAAGTGTATTAATTCGAATATTTTACCAATGCTATCAAAGTAGATGCAGCAGCCATCCAACGCTGATCTACAGAACGCGATGTACAGCGGGTGGCTGCATACAGTATTGGTTACGGGGGTCATTTGCTTCGCGGCTGATGGCTGTGTAATCTGGTGCAAGAACAACTGTCCCGGGTCCTGGAACGACTCGGACACCTCCATGGAATTTTGGTCGAAGCTCCTGGACCCGGCGTTGTGCTCAGATGCGAGAAATAATGTCGTGTTCGATTCTGCCTTTCCGTGCTCTACAGCGATGGTCGGACGCATCTTAACGCCGCTGAAGGACGGCGACTTAGAGCGGATTCACCCTGCCCTGCGCAGTCAAGCACGCACCCTTCATAATGCTATAACTTCGGTGCGTCAAGCAGCCGAATGGGGCATGGGGAGTATGCAGAAGGTATACCCCCGGCTTAGTTTGCCGCTCCCATACGATCCACAGCTTCGCGGTATGAGGCTGGACAATTTGTTTCGCCTTACCAACTACCGGGTACGGACTGTTGGGATCTCGCAAATACGTACGACTTTCTCGGGTGTTATGGATGAAGGGGTAGCTTTGTTAGGCCGATTTGTTTACTTTACTTTGAGCATGATTGGTATCTAGACTGAAATCTGCTTCTTAGTAAACCTTCTCAGGTTTTTGGATTTTATTTTGTTTCGATACGTGACCATGCTAGTAATTTGACATCCAAAATTATGTTTTAATGCGTTGTAGAGATCCTACAGGTAACAACGACGTCACTTCGAAGGTGCCGGTCTTTTGGCGCCTTCTTCTGTTTCCGATGGCCCTTAGGGCTTCTTGTTGATGCTCGTGGTGAGCAAGATGAGCTCCTGCGTGCGAGCTCTGGCTTCTTCCTTGTCACGGCGAGCTCGTTCGTCCATCTCGATCTTGTCTTGACGACGGTGCTCTTCAGCTTCCGTCTTGTCCGCGAGGCGACGTGCCTCCTGGGTTGCAGCATCGTCACGACGTCGTTGATCCTCTTCCGCACGGCGGATTTCCGCCTTCCGCTCGGTCTCTTCGCGAAGTAGCAAAATCGTTTCTAGCATACTCCCTCCGCTCTTTTTCGAGGCTGTTTCTAGTTAGTCCAGCTTGGATTTAAGCGCCGTAATCGCTTTAGCGGCTAGGATCCGCTTTGATTTCGCGAAACTTGCCTCCATGATCTCCTTGTCTCCTTTCATGGTGGTCTTGGAGCCCGTTTCGTTGCGGAACGGGGTTAGATCCACTCCTCCAAGTCGATTTGAGGCAGTCTGGAATTCAGCAGATCGGTTTTGGGCCACAGACGTTTTCGTCTGAATTTCAGTCGTCTTAGAGAGCTTTGTGGGCCCCCGAGCCTTCGCTCGAGTCTTAGGTCCGGTCCGCGGCGATGCTGAAGTGCGTACGGTGCCGATATTCTCGTTCCGATCTTCTGAAGTAAAATGGGAGGAAAGCATATCTTGGAATCCCCCAGAGGTCGGCGCGTTTTCGGTGCCCTGAAAGCTCCCATCTACATTCACCTGACCGTCAGAGCTCTCAGCCACAACACCGAGCCCCACAGACTCTAAACAATTGCCGCCAACAGCAAATAAACCGTCATCAGGCTCGACGTCGAAAGGGAAATCCTCTCTGAAGTCTTCTTCCTCGTTGTCGGCCCCGTCATCCATTACAACGACGCTGGCCTTGTCGTCGATAGCGTTATTTAGCTCTTTAGCGAACTTGATGTGTGGCGGCATTTTAGAAGTCCCAGTCGGCTTCCTTGTGCTCTTGAATTTTCGCCGTAGGCTGTCAAACTCTTGCTCCGGCCATCCACGCATCCTACTTCCATTGTAGAAGCCTGCCAGCCTCTCCCATTCGTCCTTACCAAAGGGAAGGATGTCTTCAATGAGATTCAGCAAGCGGGAGATTTCTGCCATCTTGTAGTTTGCGCTACCCGACACCTTCGCCATCGTTAGAGCCACCGTTAGTGGCGTGGGGACTCACGGCGTGGACTTGCTCGGCTTTGGCAAGAAGCAGAATGAGAAACTTCGAGTACCGGCTTCAGTCGCTTTTGCTGCGCCCAGTTAGTGTCCAATCTGTGATTCGAAGGCCATATGCCATCTTCAACCACGTTGCTCTCCAAACCAACCGAATACCGCGGAAGAAGGTCGTACCGAGTGTGACCTTGCAGAAACTAGGAATAGAGAACATCAACATGAACAACAAATCTTGATTGAGCGCTGTCTTCCTGGAGTCTCGGACCTACGGAAAGTCCAATGCCTTTACATCTCCCCTGTGAGTCCTTGACCCGCTCTCCGTGGCGGCCTGCTACCTCGCCTCGTCGAGCCTTGGCTCAACGATCTTTTTTTTTGCTTGTCTTGTATGTCTCTGTGGACACATCTTTCGAGCCCACAGCGACAGACGAACCACAAGTCGTCCCCATAACCAACTGTGACCTCCTCTCCGCGAAGAACGCGCTCTATCGTCGCAGCCACGACCGTCGTTCGGCGCCCATTGCTGACCTCCAAGAACTCTGCAACCGGCCGGCACGAGTGGTTCGCGAGCCGCATCAATCTCCCCATGGACTCTGCATTTATTGCGACTTGAACGCGGTGGGCCGGCGATTCGGGACGTTGCTTCATCACCAATCGATATCCGTTGTTCCGCGGGCGCCGAGCTCGCGAGACACTGAGGTGCTCAAGCTCGCCGGGATACAGCCCGATAACCCCCCCCCCGACGTCAATGTCCTCCGCCGCAACCACCGCCAGCGATGATGTAGGCACGTTGCGCCCCAAGAATAACTTCGGAGACTCTGCCAAGCCGTTACCGCACTTCCTCAAATGGGCAGGTGTTGATGTTACAGAATACATCCATGAGCGAGTTGCGACAGACGCCAACCCGGCACGGCGATGAGCCTGTACACCAGCCGAAGTGCGGCACGTACGGGAATCGAATGTACGAAGGGTTATAGGATTTGCGGAGGTGTATAACACAATTTGGCCACCGCGTAGGCACGAAGCGCTGGAGTGTAGGCGCCGTAGACCTCCTTGGCAGAGGACGGGGGGTCTCTGGCGAAGATGCCAACGACCCGTTCTCATTGAGCACAAGTTGCCGGCGGTTAAGCGGATCATATGAGCCAGATGCACTTCGGCGGGCTTCACGACGCCCATGGCGAGCCGCAGATGTCTTTG